AGTTTTTTTGGTAGATTTGAGTACTGTTGTGATATTTGAATTGTTTGCAGGCAACCTGCCTACACTCAAGAGAGCACTGCATTTCACACAAATCCATTGGCTTTTCGTTCTTTCCATGTCCACTTCATTCCTGATGATGGTCATAAAGACCGAAACGTTGTAACGATACCAATGGATTTGTGTGAAATGCAGTGCTCTCTTGAGTGTAGGCAGGTTGCCTGCAAACAATTCAAGTATAATGAAGCTGCGTGAAGCGTCCTTCAAAATTTTGTTGTGATATTCTTGTTTTAAATGTTTACCCATGCGTATGTGTGTACAGTCAACTTTGCGTATAACGACACTCGGCGGGGCATCAGAAAAGTGTCGTTATTCGCGAAGTGTCCTTATACCCGAAGTCTCATTCTATGTGTTACAGTTAGATGGGACTTTGCATGGAAATTCTGTCGTTATTCGCGAATTGTGGCTATATCCGTAGTCTTTATTAGCGAAGTTGACTGTATCTGTGTATGTGTGTACGGGTACTGTATTGTCCGGAGTATGCGCCGCACCCAGATTGTTTGACGTGAAATACAGACATCTAGCCTGTATTACATGGTACAGTTGACCAGTGTTGTGTAAGCCACCCACAAGCTCCAAAGTAAATCACATTTGCTAACTGTACAATTGATTTTGGGTTTGGATTGATTTTTACAATTGATTTTGGTTTTGGATTGATTTACTTTTATTTCATTTTTAACTTGCCGTATTTTGCGTGTGTATTTTGCCTTCTTGTTCTTTTTATTCCATGGCTGGTAGCCCTCATTCATTATACTGGTTGACACCATGTCATCCATGAATTGAGAATAATAATAATAATAAAATAATAATAATTCCGTTAGCTCTGCACCCACGAATACCGTACCCTCTCTCGATCTCTCTATCTCTCCATGACGTTTTCCTTTCCTTGTTCTCTCCTTTGTTTGTTGTGTTGTGTTGGGTTTCTAGTTTGGCCGTTATTCACGAGTTGACGACCAATGCACCGATCGACTGCCTACACATCGCGCCGGACGGCACCCATCTGCTGCTGGGGCTGCGCGATGGCAAAATGGTTGTGTACTCGCTGCCTGGCTGATGATGATGATACAACGGCTGTCTGGATGCTGCTGGGGAGCGGTTTAGGTGTTGTTTTAGCGTCGATCACCGCTGCTCCGAGCTGTGTGATGTTTCCTCGCTGTCAGTCTCTCAGCTGGACTTCTAGTGTTGTTGTCTGTGCCTCCGTACCGGTATCTAGTTGGTGTTTTCGCCCCACGCTCGCGCGTGATGTGCGTGCATGCGTCTGCAACGTTAGCTCTAGTCGTATCACGTGTGATCACAGCATTACTGCGGCGTAGTGTCACCAATGGCGGGCTCTGCCTTCACGTGCGCGTCCCGCCAGCCTGTGCAGTAGCACGCGCGCCGTCTTCTCTCGTTGGTAAACACGTTAGCTTCGTAGCTGTAGATCCCCCCGATAAGTTAACCTAAATTTTGATTGTCTCCGGTCGGGATATTGTTGCTTCGGGTTGAATGACGTCACCGACTCAGCATTGGCATGTCGGGAATGCTGTGTGCCTCTGTGGTGATGTCATGGTTTCTGGCCGTTCGTGACGTGTCTGATGTCATCGATGAGTAATTGTTGCCTGGGTAAGCCCATTGCGCAATGACGTAATTCGTACCGTAAACACTCCACACAGCCACCTGGGCATGGTCGCCTGGTGTGTTGAACAGTACATTGCTGATCACAGCGTACTCGCATGCATTACTCATACCTTCCATATTTGGCAATGCGCAATGGACTCGTTGGCGTCGTGGAACTCTCATCTGGTTTAGTGCATGCTGCTGGCGGCTTTACGTAATCCACAACTTCTCCGCTATCGGATCAATCTGCTTCTCCATGACATCGTCATCCATGGCTCTTTCCCATGGTGACATCATCGATGACTCATCTATGACTCATTCTCAGCTTATAAAGCTTTACGTACTCCACCTCTACCCAATCGGATCAATCTGCTTCTCCATGACATCATCATCATCATCATCCATTCCTCTTTTCTGTGGTGACATCATCGATGACTCATGGGATGACTCGTTCTCAGCTGATATTGAAATAGAGGATACCTGAGTGTTATCTCCCGGTGTCATCATATCGGATTGATGGACCTCACCACGCAGTGCTGATCAAAGAGGACTTTGTTTTCTCGTTTGGTCGATGTGTGTGTCGTCGTCATTCCATCGAGAAAGTTTGATTGTGCCGCTATGTGAGTCGCCCGCATCGTGTGTTTTGACGTGCCGTGTGTTGACTCCACTCGTGCCCATCAATGTTTGTTCCTCAAGTGTGTGCCTTGGCACTCTGCTTGGTGTTTTGTTCGGGCTGCTTGGTCAAACATCCCGCTCTGTCCTCTCCAATGTGAATTTTAAGTCTAGATCTAGATAATCATGTCGATTAACATTTAACATCTCCTCAATTATATGTTTTACTCTCTTAGGTTGACAGTTTGGATTGTAAAGATTTCTATTTCATTATCTCCCTCTTTTATTCTATCATGAGTCTGGCATTCTTGAAACTCACTCTGTGGACCGCCGCCGTGTTGCACGAGAATGTTGAAAAAAGACTTTTTTTGACCCGGTGTGCTCTAGCAATCCGCCCCACACACACACATACACACTCCACTCCCCCCCCCCCCCCCACACACACCAATGCACAATACCACACATGGGCACGTCGGTAGTTAGCTATCCAAGTGCACACACGCTCATGAAACACACTCTATTTTCAATTTCTTTTAAAAGTACTAATAGGAGTGCTCCGTCGTCATGAATCGCATCTAGCTTGGTGCCCATGACATTTATTTTTTGATATTCCGGCTATTGTTTGTCTAGTATCAAGGTCATCCTTTTTATACCCTACCACCTCAGTGGACCTAACATGACTCCCCCTCCCCCTGCTCTTTCCCTACCACCCGCTCTCTCCTACCCCGTGCCCCCCCCCCCCACCCTACCCCTGCCCCTCCCCCTGCTCTGCCCCTACCACCCGCTCCCCTAACTCCCCCCCCCCCCGCTTTTTTACTCCTCCTATTACTGTATTGTTGGTACTAGTGGCACTTCAAAGCATATTATTTTCTCCTCTGATGTCTGTGTACTCGTGTCTCCCTAAGACATTTCACACATTGAAGACTGAAACTTAGAATGGCCGAGAATGGCCAACGTGAATGGGTAGCAGCTGTGTCCTTGATATCTCGTGCTGGTGGATGGTGCGGCATACTGGAAGTGTTCAATCTCTCCTCCCACTCCTCTCTTCCCCGCCTCCCTGTATATATCGTGCCACAGCAGTAGTACTGCCCTGTATTGCCTGTCAGGCTGTCACGCATGCAAACACGGTCTGCTGCAAAGCGAGGGTCCAGAGGGCGTAGACATGCAATCATGTTGACTGCTGTGGGAGGTGATAACCTAGCAGGTAGTCTCTTGTGCCCTGGTTCGTCGACTCCCTGAGCGTAACCGGTCGACTGTCCGGTCCAGAACAATTACATGCAATAGTCAGGACAGATTTGGTTACTATAGATTACAGTTGTTTTTGTCGAGGACCGCGTGGCCCAATGGATACGGCGTCTGACTTCGAATCAGAAGATTGTGGGTTCGAGTCCCATCGTGGTCGATCTACTTTTTTTCTTTGCTTCCCGGTTTTTTCCACATGTACTGAGTATATATACAGTCAACTCCCCAAAGCCGGATACAGTCAACTTCGCGTATAACGACACTCGGCGGGGCATCAGAAAAGTGTCCTTAGTCGCGAAGTGTCGTTATACCCGAAGTCCCATATATGTATTACAGTTGGATGGGACTTTGCTCCGGGCATGGAAATTCTGTCGTTATTCGCGAATTGTCGTTATATCCGCAGTCGTTATTAGCCAAGTTGACTGTACCCTTATTTTTTATTTTTTTTATTTTTTCATTCTGTGCTGAGCTGAGGCTCTGTTCTCTGTGGCAAGAATAACTATACTGTCGCCTGTACCGGTATACCTGTGAGTCTGACTGTCTGACCATGCACCAGAGTCCCAGTCCACTTTGAAGGAGTAAGGTTTGCTGCCGCACCCAGATTAGGGAGGTTTCGCTCTACGGAATTACGTATGAAAATAAGTTAAATAACGTATGAACTGCACGGAATTTTCATACGTAAAAAATCAGAGCTGCTGGGTTTCGCTCTACGTGATTTATCCACGACTGCTAAACATGCGTTGTTGCTTTGGAGATGCGTTGGCTGCATGCGCCCACCGCATGCACCATGAACCGAAACCGCGTTTTCCATCTTATTTTGCACGTGGTGTACGGTGTGTGTACCGGTACCTTGTGTTTCACGCGGCTTGAACGTTGCCATGGACAATTGCGGAAAATGCGAAAAAATATTTCAAAAAGTCCTACGGAGGACCCAACGTAGGAAACAGCTTTCCTACGGAAATCCGTAGAGAGATTTACGTATGAAAGCTGCCCTCGCTCCCCGGCGCGTACGACATACGGATTTTCATACGTAATTACGTAGAGCGAAACCTCCCTATTATTTAGCGGGAAGGAAAACTGCAACCAAGGTTATGCATAATTTCTCGAGTACATTTCGAACCTTGAAAAATTTGCTTATTGTAGACACCCACAAGTACAGTAAACCCTGTCAAAGCGTCCAGCACTCTGCAGACAGCACTCTGCAGACAGCACTCTGCAGACAGCACTCTGCAGACAGCACTCTGCAGACAGCACTCTGCAGACAGCACTCTGCAGGCAGCACTCTGCAGGCAGCACTCTGCAGACAGCACTCTGCAGACAGCACTCTGCAGACAGCACTCTGCAGACAGCACTCTGCAGACAGCACTCTGCAGACAGCACTCTGCGGATGAGGCGACCACCTGTCCCAGAGGACCACTACAGCCAGGACAAGGGGATATTGCTTCTACACTAAAACCTGTCAAAGCGTCCAGCACTCTGCGGATGAGGCGACCACCTGTCCCAGAGGACCACTACAGCCGGGACAAGGGGATATTGCTTCTACACTAAAACCTGTCAAGGCGACCACTCTGCAATCATGGCGACCCCCGCCTGCCTGTCCCAGAGGACCACTACAGCCGCGGCCAGGGGATGTTGCTTCTACCTGGTTTGCACGAATCTGGGTGGGTCCAGTTTTCGAAATGACGTCGAGCCATAGCCGTACCGGTCGGACCGGGTGCCATGGCTCTACACCATGCTCGCTCATCCGATCTCTGATTCCCCTCCAAAGCACTTAGACTGAGGCCGTACAGCTGAGGCCGTACAGCTGAGGCCGTACAGCTGAGGCCGTACAGCTGAGGCCGTACAGCTGAGGCCGTACAGCTGAGGCCGTACAGCTGAGGCCGTACAGCTGTCCTGCAATGGCGTTTCATGTAACTGGGGCCGCCGCTCGAAGACAGAAGAAGTGTGAAGACTGAGTGTCTTGTCTTCTCAGTCAGTGGTTGGTGTGTAGTATGCCTTGCCTGAAATTCACATCGGCTTACCTAATGCCGCGGATTTTGCTGTTCTCTTAGGGCATGTTCGATTGGTAAGGATCGGGATCCAGATCTCAGATCCGTCGGATCCTTCAGATTCAACCGAACACTTTATTTTGGACCTTGACTGTTGCCATGTTGACGAAGTAATAAAATGGCGCTCACACAAGTCACCCAAAAGGATGAAAGTCGTACTCATCGCACGCGCGTTGTACAAAACATCAACACGTTCTATCTCGATCCACGTGGCCACATGTGCGTACGTACCACAATGTGTACAAAAATGATTTTTACCCGCCATATACGAGGACGACCACGTCTGAGATGGATCGACGTTGTCAAGAAAGACTTACAATGCATTAATCTGTCGCTTCTGGATGCTGTGCAATCTGCTTCTGATAGAGCTGCTTGGCTCGAAATTGTTAACAGATGCGTTGACCTCATGCAATGAGTGATATGTGAACTGTCATTTATATTATAAATTATTATTATTATTATACGCACAAAGGTCACATTTAGATCCGTTGGATCCGCTGAACCCTCAGCGGCTCCCCGAGGTGGGTTGACTGGATCCAAATCCGAAGGATCCGGATCCAGATTTGACCATTCGAAAGGGTGAGAATCCAGTGGATCAGGTGGATTGGGATCCCGATCCTGCCAATCGAACATGCCCTTATTGAATTCTTTGCCGAGTCTCTTTCTCCCTGCATTCATGATAATAATCATTGGTTTGTGTGCTGCTTGATCCAGTGCGCCCGTGTCTTTTTGCCGTTTACTTATCAGAGTCATGCCCGTACTACTATTTTGAACAAAGTCCCATACCTGACTGCTCACTGCTGCCACTGCTCCTGTTCAGTTGCTGCTGCAGTTGCTGCTGTTGTTGCTGCGGCTGCTGTTCAGTTGCTGCTGTCGCGGCTGCTTCGCCTGCTGCTGCAGCTGCTGCGGCTGCTGCTACTGCTGCTGTTTCTACTGGGGTTTGCTGGTGCTGCTTCTGGTGGTGTTGCTGGGAATGCTGCTGCTGCTGCAGCAAGCTGCTTCAAACTCGGTTCTGCTGCCGCTTGCACCAACTCAGTTTCCGTTCGGAAATGTGTGCTAGCAGAGTGGAGTGGAGGAGTTTCATTATGTGCACGACCGCGTGGCCCAATGGATACGGCGTCTGACTTCGAATCAGAAGATTGTGGGTTCGAGTCCCATCGTGGTCGATCTACTTTTTTTTTCTTTGCTTCCTTTTTTCAGATGTGGCAGATATCAGAGTCAAAAAATGACTGCACCGACCGGACCGGGATGCAGGTCTACTGTAGACTTTTTTTACTAGTACTAGTAGTAGTAGTAGATCTACCGGTACGCGGTACATGTAGTTCTTTTTCAACCAAGGAGTATCGACTGGTAAAGGAGGATCGAGAGGATACCGTCACTGCATGAGGTATCTTTTTCAAAACCAGGGAGTCGTATTTTGGAATTACGACAGTCGGACTCCCTGTTCAAAACGCTTGTGGCTCAATGTAGCTGAACCATCGGACCTTATTTGTCAGCTTGGATCACGTGATCCATCCAGCTGCCGCGTGCGGCAAACAGCCCAAATAGCGCTAACTCTGGCCTGCGAGCGTTTGCTGCGACTAGCGCGCTAGCGCTCGTGACATACACATATAGCCAGAATGCTTTGACTTTGATGGCTTTCAGCTTCTATTTTTTGAAAAGTAGCGCGCTCAGACCAGCTCGCTCACTCTTTTCTTCTTCCATTTTTTAGGGCAATTGTTTTGTTTGATAGACGAAGCTTAGGGTCTCTTTGGGTTTGCAACCCTTACCCTCCTGGAAAAAATCATAGTTGCTAGACTGCGACACTTCAGACCAGGTACTATTAGAGCCGCTAATGGACGACGAGCTATTTTCCGCTATCCGGAGCTCAAGCATTTGGGCCGCTAAATGGACGAGACTCCTGCGGCAAAGGATGCAGAGAATGAGGAGAAAACACTCGTATTGGAGCAGGGAGTAGGTATTGTACTACTTCCTGGTATGGAGCACTGAGAAGCGGTAAGTCTTAGGGCAATTCTTAGCCAGTAATTACTTTCTCGCCATAATTATGTTCTCGTTTTTCGTGTCTTCTGTAATGCCAGTACACTAGCAGTACGACTACACTGTAGGCGAGAGTCCATTAGCCAGAGTGTGCAGCTCTCCATCTCTGCAGCATAAACAAATTAATGACAAATTTCCTTTGCCTAAGGGCTGGGTTCCACTGCCGCTCCGCCGCACATCATTCACGGCATGAAACGTCATCATTACGAGCTGGTCCAGCGAGGCCGCGGCTCATCACCAGCTTTCGCTTCGCTGCTTGATACAAAAAAATGCAAGCCGCGGTCACGGCTTGCATTGTTTCCCGCACTTAATTGTTTTATTCGGGGGAATTTTAATTCGTTGCACAGGCCAGAACACGAGGATTTTTTTGGATTTCACGCGCGCGCAGGCAGGCTAAATGCCATCAAAAAACGTCGAGCACGATCGCGGTACCGTGAATGGCGAGTGTCACTGGAACCGCGCCGCTCTGCTGCATGCAGCCAAGTACCGTGGAGCAGCGGAGCTGCGGAGCCGCAGTGGAACCCGACCCTAACCAAACTTATAGCAATTTGAAAATGTTTGACAATTTTTCATAAAAAACTTGACAACATTGTTCTTCTGTAGAGTGCCGCTGGCAACTCCATCGATGAACTC